TGAAGGCGAGGATATTGGTTTCGCTTCCTCGATGGCGAACATTTCTCTTCCGGCTGGTTGTTCTCCGTACACTGTTTCGATTCCTCTCGATGTTGGGAATTTGAGGACCTAGTGTAGGGTCAAAGGTACAGCTCTCATGTTGTGGATCCATGGCCTTCCGAAAAGGGCGTTGTATCTCATGTCGCCTTCGATTACGTGAAACTTCATTTCCTGGATGGTTCCGGCCACGTTTATTGCTAGAATTATCTCGCCTTTGGTGGTTTCACATGCCATATTGAATCTGTTTAGAACCAGGGTTGTGGGTACGATCTGGTCCTGCAGGCTGAGCAGTTTTACGACCCTCAATCTGATGATGTTGGCCGAGCTACCTGGATCAATCAACATACACTTAATCTTAGTTTTATTCATGAGTACGGATATTACCAGTGCATCGTTATGAGGTTGTATGACTCCTTCTGCATCTTCATCACTGAAGGACAACGTTCCTATAGGCGTGTAATCTTGAGTTCGAGATCGTTTTTCTCTCACAATCGATGTCTTAGTGCGTTTAAGCACTGGTCCCTGAGGGGTATCGACGTCGCCGATGATCATGTGAATGACGTGCTATGTCTCTTCTTATTTGTTGTGCTTGCCGAAATCCCTATTTTTCAAATGGTTCTTCGCCCTATCGCTCAAAAATTCTCGAAGGTGCCCTTTGTTGAATAACCGGGCTACTTCCTCTCTTAGTTTCCTGCAATCTTCCGTTTTGTGGCCATGGGTGCCATGATATTCGCACATTTGATTAGGATTCCTCTGGGCAGGATCGGTCTACATGGGTCGAGGCCATTTAGTGTCTTTGATGCGTTCGATAGCCGATACGATGGCGGATGCATCAATGCTGAAGTTATACTCTGATAACCGAGGTGCTTCCTTAGATCCGGCAGGCCTATCGAACCTACTTCTGTTCATCAGCCCTCGGGACCCTTGACCTCGATCATTTCTCTTGTTATTTTGCCTAAGGTTATGTCTCGATTCACTGACTCTATGGCTTCCGTTGTACGGTTGGTATCGATCCCCTATCGGACCTCGTTCTCGATTAGTATCCCTTCGAATAGCAGGTTCAGACCCCAATTGGTCATCTTCGACCCTAATTTTTGATTGGTACCGATTGGTAAGTCCATTCGTTCCATTTGAAAACGAGATACGAACTCTCTCAGCATCTCATTATCTTTTTGCCTTACCTTGAAGAGGTTCGATTTCCTTGTTACGACTTTTATGGCTTCGGCATGTGCTTTCACAAAAGAATATTCTAACATGGCGAACGAGTCGATGGAATTTGGTGGTAGGTTATGATACCAAATCATTGCCCCTTTCGAGAGGGTCTCTTCGAATTTTTTTAACAACACAGATTCGATTTCATCATCTTCTAAATCATTGCCCTTGATGGCACATGTGTAAGAAGTGACGTGCTCGTTGGGATCGGTCGTTCTGTTATTTTTGGGAATTTCGGGCATACGGAATTTTTTGGGGATTGGTTTTGGGCCTGCGCTCGAGGGAAAAGGTTTTTGCACGAATTTTTTTGAATCCAGCCCTTTTATCATTGGTGGAACTCCCGGGATCTGATCGACCCTAGAGTTATAAGTTTATACTTTTTTATCGTTGGCTTCGACTCGCTTTGTGAGTTCCTCGAGCAATTTAGCAATTTCGGGAGTAGTCCCCGATTCTTGCTCATTTGACTTCGCTATGGCTGGCTCCGTTCTGTGGGTGATTTCTCGAGGTGGATTGGGCTCCGGCCTACTTTGTAGCTGGGTTTGGCTCTGCAACTGAGCTATTACTGCCTGTTGAGGTTGCAACATTTCAAAAATCACACGCAAGCTAACACCGTTTTCCTCGATGTTATAGGTATCTCGAGCCGCAGACCGAGTGCCACCATGGATGCTATTCTCGGGTTCAACATGTAGGTTCACCTCAATGGCTATATGCAAATTGATGTCTATTGGTGCTCCGATCCGAGCTCCAACGGCGTTTATAAGTGGTCTTTCAATACCAGGTGTCAAGTTGTTGTTTTCATCTTGAAGACCGGCCCCGTTGTCGATTGGTGAAGCCATTTGATTGATGGTTAGTCGTAGCTAATCCGATATTCAAGATATTTTTGGAAACAAGCGCAAAACACAATGGCGTGTTTTTTCAGATTCGTATCAAATAACCACTGTTATCATTGGCCCCATGGTGGGCGCCAAACTGTTTACCCGAAAAATGGATAGAGTTGAATTTATATGTAGTTCCAAGAATATGTGGCGCAACTTAATACAAATTATAAGGATAAATAGAAATATAAATATGGACTGCAAAGAATGCGAAATAGATAAGGTTGTAAAGAAAATGAATCTTAGGACTCAACAAGTAGAATCAATTTAAGAAGCCTGAAAAAACGATTCTTTACTATGGGAGAAAATAGTATTTTTATTACAATGTAAGCCTGGAAAAACTTGCATTTTCATAAATGATAACCATGCCCTTTATAGTAGAGGGACCTTGCTCTAAGCATAATAAAAAAAAATACTCTGTGGGAGACCCATGATAAATCAGCTTTTCCACAATTTCTGCCAAGACTCTCGCTAGTGGGATTGCAACGGCTTTTGTCTGTGAGATCGATCTTGCCTCGAGCCCTCGATCTTGGTTTGAGCTCGATTCTGACTCGAGTTCTCGATCTTGGCTCGAGCTCGATTCTGACTCGAGCTCTCGAATTGATTCGGGGTCAATGTTGGTTGGTTTTTGGATCATAAGCATGATAGGTTTACTCTGCATCATAGTTCGGTTTGGATTCGAGCTCGATAACGATGTCAAACTCGACATGGATCGGACCCTCGGGTTCGAGGCTTGTTTGTTCGATCTTCGGAGTCTCACTTCGATCGATCATCGTTGGAACTCGATCGGACGTGCGAATGTCGAAATCTATTTTGACCGTATACAGAAAGCAAAATGACTTTACAAGATAATTTCAAATAATTGAGTGACCATTTAAGTAATGTACTCATATTCAATAGTACATTTACTAGTTTGCACGAGGAGGGAGAAATATCAGCTTGTGNGGTGCAGTACAAAGCATTTTACTGTTTAGTGAGCTTACATATAACAATTTGGGGGAAGTGCACAGTTAGCCACTAATTTGAGGTATTTTTATTCTTAAGCCACTATTTAAAATGTATTTACTCTTTAGTCAGTACTTTAATAACTTTTATTCACCCGGACGAAAATACCCCTGTGCTACACATGGTGTCCTTAACTTTATGAGTGATGTGTAAATATTAAGGACAAAGTGTCATAAATTAGCATCTTCTGTTTTAAACTTTAGGACATCCTGTCCTTAACTTCATATGTGCAGTGTAAATGTTAAGGACATAGTATCCTTAACTTCACGAGTGCTGAGTAAATATTAAGGACATGGTATCCTTAACTTCATGAGCGTTGTGTAAATATTAAGGATAAAGTATTATGTATTTGCACCTTCTGTTATTAAACTTTGGGACATCATGTCCTTAACTTCATATGTGCAGTGTAAATGTTAAGGGCATGGTGTCCTTAACTTCATGTGTAGTGTAAATGTTAAGGACATAGTGTCCTTAACTTCATGAGTGTTGTGTAAATATTAAGGACATTGTGTTCTTAACTTTATGAGTGTTGTATAAATATTAAGGACAAAGTGTCATGTATTTGAACCTTCTGTTGTTAAACTTTAGGACATCATGTCCTTAACTTCATGAGTGCTGTGTAAATATCAAGGACAAAATGTCCTTAATATTTACACTTTGTCCTTGATATTTACACAGCACTCATGAAGTTAAGGACACCATGTCCTTAATATTTACACAGCAATCATGAAGAAAGGGTAAAACTGTCTTTTCGTATTAATTTTAATAGAGTAGTGATTATTTTTGCTCAGCATTAAAAATGCTGAATAAAAACTAAATACCACATTAAAAAGTGGCTACCCCACGCCATTTCTACCCACAATTTTGGATTAGTCTAGCCACCAACTGATTGAGGATATCTTAAACTAAAATGAAGAACAATCACAAGTTATTACTTTAAACAGATCTTTATATGTGTTCTCATCTTTTCGTTATTTTCTTTTGGAGGGTGAAAGCGGGAAACAGGCGCCAAGTAACTCGGTATAATTTAGAAGTGTCAAGCAGTACGCATCATAAGTAAGAGCAGCCGAAATCGCAAAGCTCGTCATTTAGCTTTTAAAAAAGGAGCTAGTTACACGGAACATGGCAATAAGAGCTGGATAGTTAAAAATATTCAATGAGACAAAAATGAGGGTCTAGCAATTCATCCACTGATGATCATTCAGCAATTTATTTTCCATGATGACAAAGCCACGGCAACTGATCAAGAGCCACCTTCATTGGAAGCTAGAGAATACCAATGCTGACAAACACAGGATCCTGCATGGCAGATTTTTTTTTATAAAGTTAAAGTCGCAGAAAGGGATGTGGCCAAAACATATAAAGACCAATGTGTCGCTAATATGAACATAACTATCCAGATAGACAAGTTCACAAGATATTCGCACCTCTTTCAGTTCTCAATCAACCTTTCACGTGAGAAGCAGGAGCCCTTGTTTCAACATTATCGATAAGAAATTAACACGCAGACTAGCAGAAAGCTGGATATAATTTCAAATGGCTATGCAGAGAAACTGAATGATAACAGAAACATGCTCATGTTCTCTGAGCAGCTAGGCATGTTCCCCTTACTGATTAAATGTAAGAAAATATACTCTTCTACACTTCAACTGTACATTGTGATATGCAGCTGGTTGAAAATTACAACTTATTAGACAAGATATTGTAAAAGGTTTTAGTTCAAGATATACATCATTTCATGATTCAGCATTGGGGTTAAACACCAGAAAAACCTACTTACTCAACCAAACTTACAGATTTTTATCAAAGTAAGCACCTGAAACGTATAGAAGCGCGCAGAGAGCACTAATATTAGGTATGACAGGCAAAGAATAACAATCATGAAAAAATTAGATAGCCTGAACTGTTTACATTAAAGATACAAGAAAGCTGAACACTCTTTTTAAATATCATTATTAGGGGAATGCCAGCTATCTGGAGAAAAATTCTAAGTCGGACACATTTTACACCTGCAACAGCTTCCTGAATCTAGAAAGTTTATATACAACAAATGGTACGACCTGATATTGATCACTTAAGGTTTAGAAATAACCATGGAAAAACCAGGTCCCTGCTCTCTTCCATTTGTCAATCACTCTGTCTTTTTTCCCCTAACTACACTATTTGAAGAAATAGCCTGTACACTACGGGATGACGAACATCTACTTGACGAACTTCCATCAGTGAGGCTGTTATCCTTACTTGATAGCTTTCTGCAGATCCTTCGTCCAGATGAAAGCTCCTGCACAATTTAATGTCATGATCATACAACTAATTTGTTGTCCTATTTGATAATCCATTCACTAGCAATGAAGTGAGAAAAGAAAGTTGGAACAGATATACTTGTATGTTTAAGTATTTAACATGCTAGTGGAGTAGTTTGTTGGAAAAAAGTGACATCGAGGCTAATCTAAAATAAACTAACAGTAGCTGTTTAGAATTAATTAGAATTTCTGGAGATTGTAAACATGGCCATTTAGGAAAAGGGCCAAAAGACTTCGGATATTCTAGAAGGGGAAGTAGACCAAATAAATTGGAATTGAGCAAAGATAACCTGCTCAGATGCAGGTCCAGGTGTCTTAAGCTCTAAATTTGTCGCAACTTCATTGGAATCTTCATTTTTCTCGATCCTGCTCTCTCCTTGATCAGACTCTTGTCTGCCAGAACCATGGGTCCTATTACTTGGCTGCATGACAGGGGAAATCTGCTGTGCCGGTTGCTGTTCCATCAGTGTGCTGGGAGCCATGTATTGAACAAAAGGTGAACATGGATTTGGGGCACCTGCAGGATTCTGATTCCCAAAAAAAGGGTATGGCTGCAGAGATGGATGCATTGGAATCGCTCCAGTTGGTATCGGTACACGCATTGGATATGAATATGAAGGTGGATGCATGACCATGGAAGGATCCATCCCTGCCCATGGATACATGGACCTCAGTCTTTGTTGATATTGGGCATTAAGGCTCTCAATATCAGATTTAAGAGATGCCTTCTCTTCTCGGAGATCAGTCTTCTCCTGAGTCAACTGCTCTAAAACAAAATTAGGCATGAAAATTACACCAAAAGGAACATAAGTGAATAAACTATATGGTTTTAGGAAGTGTCAAGATATCACCTCCCGACTTTCGTCAGTAAGTGCAGCATACTCAGATTTTAGTTTGCCGACTTGAGCAGTCAAATCCTTCAGCACTTGAATGGTATCACTGAGAATGGATGCCTTGTCATTTTTAGGCCTATCAGGATCTGCATTTTAAGTTGCCGAAAAATTTAGGATTTCTGTGCGTGCTTATGTTTCCTTAAAGCTCTAACATACTCCAGCATAATGAATGTTTAGCAGGTGGTGCAACAAAACTAGCGCTAAAAGTACAGCGGTAACAAGATTTGCCTCTTCAAAGTTCAGGATACAATATGAAGGACTGCATTAAAGTATTTTTTTTTCCCTCAATCCGCATTGAAGGTTAAGTTGAGTGTGTTTCTGCACATCCTACTCACATAAAGTAGCTCCTGCTAATTCAGCTTCCTGGCGCATTCTAAAGTAATACAAGACATATTGCTGAGAACAAAGCAAGAAATAAACCTCTTTTCTAGTTTTAAAGTAGTTAAAGGAGAAAGTAATCTCTTTCTTTCACTGTTTTTTCCTTATTTTTATCTTATTCCCTTATCAGCTGCATAGTATAACTGTATGCCATACTGCTGCAACATATTTATTCAAGATGCATCTAAGACCACTACCGGAAGCAAAGTGACCTTAAAAATTGGAAAGTAATCCAGAAAAGAGTATGAAGTTAAGACACCAACCTATATATATATATATATATATATGGTGGATGAAACGGAGATTAGCGTCTGGAGTCCGGTGTGACAAGAATGTGCCACCAAAACTTAAAGGTAAGTTCTATAGAGCGGTGGTTAGACCGGCCATGTTGTATGCGGTTGAGTGTTGGCCAGTCAAGAATTCATATATCCAGAAGATGAAAGTAGCAGAAATGAGAATGTTGAGATGGATGTGCGGGCACACTAGCCTGGATAAGATTAGGAATGAAGATATTCGGGAGAGGGTGGGTGTGGCTCCCATGGACGGCAAGATGCGGGAGGCGAGGCTTAGATGGTTTGGGCACGTGCGGAGGAGGCGCCTAGATGCCCCGGTTAGGAGGTGTGAGCGGTTGGCTTTGGCAGGTACGAGAAGAGGTAGAGGACGGCCTAAGAAGTATTGGGACGAGGTGATCATGCAGGACATGACGCGTCTTCAGATTTCCGAGGACATGGCCCTTGATAGGAAGGTGTAGAGGTCGAGCATTAGGATTGTAGGTTAGGCGGTAGTCGAGCGTTTTTCCTCGTTGTGCCGGCTAGTCTGATAGTGTTTTGTGCTAGCGGTTTTTGTTGTGTTTCACACTTCTTTTTTTATATATATTATTATTATTATTATTATTATTTATTATTATCATTATTATTGCCCTTCCATTTATTTGTTGTCTCTTACGGTGCTGATATTATTTTTCTGGTTTCTGTTGTTGTTACGGATCTATTATCTCAGAGCCGAGGGTCTCCCGAAAACAGCCTCTCTACCCCTCCGGGGTAGAGGTAAGGTCTGCGTACACTCTACCCTCCCCAGACCCCACTAGTGGGATTCTACTGGGTTGTTGTTTATATATTCTAAAAGAAAATTTGCCAGGGGAATTAGTCTAATGGGTTCACAAACAAAGACCACAGGTATCAATGTGCATCTGAAAGAATGACATGCCTGCACAACGAGGTAAAGAGAACTTGCAGCAATAAAAGATGCATATCAGCTTTTTGTGTGTGNTTCTGCTTCTGGCTTTTGCTTAGTGCTGTCAGAAAAGAAGAATACCAGAACGAATAATTAGCACTAGAAATTGGTTCACAAAAAATTTCTCAGAAGTTGGATATAGAACTTAAATTTCATTATAACCTATCATAGGTAAGAAAATTAAAGAAAAGCACAAATTCAAGATATTCTTTTTATTTTACATGCTGTTACTTGGAATTTAATTTGTGAGGTTTCAACATTTCCTGAGTTAAATTTAACCTAATGGATGGTAGTTTATTCTGTCCATCCTTCTAAGGATTATACATTAAATAGTAGTACATATGAAACAGTTAAACTAGGCTAGTAATGCTACTTTAATTGGAACATTTACCTGTATGCTCAAAAATCTTTTAAAAAATCCACCTACATGCTTATACAGTAGTGAGATTCTTGGTAATAACAAAAAACGCAGGGTATAATTTCATGGTGAATTGATTTTAGAAAAGTTCTTTTTTTTTTTTTTTTTCTAGCAAATATTATAAGAGCTACTTTACAACATTTCCCTCTTGGTGTTCCGCTTTCACAAATGAGGATATGCTCTACAAATTTTAAAAAAATAAAAAGAAGAGGTTAAGCTTTTATAAGTTAGTATAAATATCCAAGAGAGAGCATTTCACTTTTCCATTCTTTTGAACACTTACATTTCCTCAAAAGAAAAACCCATGTGGCGTCTTTGGAGAGTCTTTGCAACGTAGTGTCCTAAAATTGATAAAATAGTTCGTAAAAACCCATGTGGCGTCTTTGGAGAGTCTTTGCAACGTAGTGTCCTAAAATTGATAAAATAGTTCGTAAAAACCCATGTGGCGTCTTTGGAGAGTCTTTGCAACGTAGTGTCCTAAAATTGATAAAATAGTTCGTAATCATATTTTTTATTTACTCATCTTGACTCTTGACAATGAGATTCAGCACTAAAGGGTGTGGTTTAATGGTCAATGAAGTTAGAATGGATCATGGAATACCAGAGTTCAAATCCAGTAGATTCAAAGAAGCTAAGTGATTTTTCCCTATCTGTTTGGTAGACAAAGTTACCCAATTCCTGTGCCAGCTGAAGATAGCAAGTCGAGATGTGCGCAAGCTGGCCTAAATACCACCGTTATCAACAAAAAGAGAAGCTCTTTACAATGAGATTCCATTTGTCTTATAGGTGAGAACTCTAAAAGGATATAGAGAGATCAAGGTTCTCTATGGTGTTTCTTTATTGTCTTCTGACTGTAGATTTTTCAAAGTAATGTGCAGTTTGCTCCATAATTGCACAGACTTTGTTGGCTTAACATTGTTCAAGAGAAATCAAAATTTCTCTTTATGCCTAGTGAGGCTCTGAATTCAACAACAAAATGCAGGTGCAATTATTGTGCATAAAAATAATTCAACACATTTTTGCACAAAGCTTTACTGTAAGCAGAGTGCCTTCTTCTTTCTTCGGATACTTGACAAGAAAGTTTCAAAGAAGCCAACAAGAAAGTTTCAAAGTGTTTTACCTTTTGCACTTGCTTAGTGCTGATCCGTATTCTAATGTAATTCCTGATCATTTATCAAAAGAAAGATTAACTACCGAATTAAACAAGTCTTGAGTGACGAGTCCTTCTGAGTTCCTAAAGAACACCCTTTCTCGAGTATTCTTACCTTAACAAACTTTAGTTGCTCCTCTGAATTCTCGTTGACCACAAAGAAAGTTTTAGCAAGTTTCCTAACTTATATCCCTGTAGTATTTTTGTTTTGGGATAGTTTCCTATTAAATCTCTAAAGTATCTCAAAACATCCAATCTTACTGTCCACGGATGAAAACGTACTCATAGCTTCAGAACACATGCATACATTAGGTTTCCACTGTGTTAGAACATGGCACAACTATACCAGCAGCTTTCTCCGCCCGCAATTTGGGACCTTGAACCTCCAACAATTCTAATTTGCATTTGCCACAGTTTAGGACCACAGAACCGGTATATATATATATATACTTTAGCCGTTTGGCCATAGATTTTGGCTCAATAATTTGAAATAATATTTGGAGATCACTTCAATTTATTTATCAAATTGGTCCATTATTTCAATTTCAAACTTGAAATAGAGAATTTAAAGTTTGAAAAACAGGTTTTAGGAGTTTTTTCAAGTTTTCACTCACAAAAATTCAGATGTGTTTATGTTCAAACACAACTCAACTTCCAAATACCCTTTTTCAACTTCAACTTCAAATTGAGATACTACTTGTTTTTCAAATCCAACTCATGTTAACCTCCACACAAAAAATTCAACTTCAAACCCACAAATTTCTTTTCAATAGAAACCCCCACAAATTTCTTTTCAACTTCAGCTATATGTACTCTCTCACATAAACAAACTGCATAAAGCACACAACTGAAGTAGTATCATTTAGAAGAACCAAAAAGATCCTATGTTTTAATAAACTAGTCATCTAATACTCACACCTGGAGATTAGATGGCCTAGTGGTTGAGGCATGGGAGCAACAACCTGGAGATGCCATATTAAAATTCCAGCTGCAACACTCAGGTTTTAAGACTACCTTGGCAATATGTTCTTCTTCTTGTGGGTTGAACAAACTGTCTTGCCTGAGTATTAGTGCAAGCTGGCCCGGATACCTTTATATTTGTAAAAGTTATTTTTTGCTATAATACACATCCGTTCATGGAAAGAACTAAGAAGAGAGGTAGGACTAACCTGGAATCAAGAAAAAGCTGAGTTGAGTCAGATACAGATGGATTTGGAATATGATTTGATTGATACGAAGTCTGGCACTTTAATTCATCCATTCTCAGCTGCGACTGGGAAATGGGAATTATACACCTTAGGGTTTTTCTTAAGCCTTCCGAACTTTGAAATCGATGGCGAAGAATTGAGAGATGTCACCGTCACACTGTAATTGTGCTTCCAGCAGATATTTGGGGTAACTCGTGTAAGGCACACGCAATATTTTGTTTCCGCAGTGCACTTTCGATGCAAGATTCCACCATTTACAACATCCCTTATCTTTAGGAAAAATGAAAAAGATACTCCTATTACTTATTCATTTATCCTCTTCTTTTTTTGGCGAGCATTTTGCGCCCCTAGTAGAATTATTTATTTATTGTTCGCACATTTTCATTTGTGACCTAATACCCATTTTTTCACACTTGTACAACTTTTAAATATCAACGTTACAACAATAATAACAGTATATCTAGTTTGATCTCACAAGTATAACATGAGGAGGGTGGGGTATACGCAGACCTTTCCTGTCTTGTATAAGGTAGAGATATTATTTCTGATATACCATCGGCTCAAAAAAAATATTTTCAAAACAAGTTTAAAAGAATATAGGAGCAAAAAAGTTATGATGAAAATACTATAAAAAAAAGTATTGACTGCAAAAATAGTAAAGATAACTAAAGTAAACGAAACAACTATAGTAATAAAATTAAAGAATAAGATAATAATTAACTAATAATACTAATACTGATAAGGAGAAGAGGGAGCAGATAGGGTGCTCTAAACTAGAATCATGCTCTCCCGCGGAGAAGAGGGAAATCACTCGACTACCTACTATTTTTTCTACCATAATCCTCGACCGTTATGCTCCCGTATCTAGGGTCATGTCCTCGGTGAATTGGAAATGTGACATGTCCTGTCTAATCAGCTTTCTCCAATTCTTGCTCGGTCTACATCTACTTCTCCTTAGACATAACACTACCAACCTCTTGCATCTCCTCACTAGAGCATATGTGTTCCTTCTCTTCAGTCTTCACATACTTGAAACATCTTAGTCTCGCTTCCCGCATCTTGTCCATCACAGAGGCCACTCCCATTTGCTCTATTTATCTTTGTTCCTAATCTTATCTCTCCTCGTATGCCCACGTATCCATCTAAGCATCCTCATTTTCGATATGTTCATCTTATGAACATGTGAGTTCTTGACTGCCCAACAACATAGTTGATCTAACAACCACTCTATAGTACTTATCTTTAAGTCTCAGTGTCATAT